GGGAGGGTCTCACAGAGACTCTCTAGGAGGACAGACAGGGAAAAGACAAAAATAAAGTGAGGAAGAGCATAATGAGGTGACAAAGAGAGACGTCAAAGAATTTATATGAGGGAGTGGATGAGGAAAAGAAAGGAGGGTGTGGTGAAAGAGATAGAAGAAGGGAGAAATACATGCACATAGTTAAACACAGAGTTAGAGGGAGAGAAAGAGAGAGACAGAAAGAGAGAAAGAGAGAGAGAGAGAAAGAGAGAGAGGAGAGAGAGAGAGGAGAGAGAGAGAGAGAGAGAGGGGAGAGAGTGAGAGAAAGAGAGAGAGAGAGGAGAAAGAGGGAGAGTAAGACATAGACAGACAGAGAAAGAGAGACAGAGTGAGAGACAGATAGATAGATACACAGACAGACAGAGAGAGAGAGAGAGAGAGAGAGAGAGAACCATACACTATTCCCACTACAACTGAGCCATGAAAAAAATCCAGAGAACACAAAAAGCAACCCCGCCCCTGACGTGAAGGTGTCTGTCTACTCACCAGACCGGACAAACGTTTGCCCACGCTGCGACCCACGGAGCCTGAGATGTCGTTGATCTTCTTCTTGAGCTTTTTGGGCGTGTTGGCAACGGAGAACTCCTCATGAAGCTTGTGGCAGTACACCTCCAGCTTCATCTCAAAGTCATGGGGAACATCCTCACTGGGAAGGGGGAGTGGGGGATAGAGGGGGAGAGATAGAAACATTTTTAAACGTAAAAAAAAGAAGCTTTTTAATCGTTAAAATAAAAGGTTATTATAGTGATTATCTAGTTAAATATCCTCTCTGTTACAGACTTGTGTAATCTAAACCCTAACTTCCTCGGCTTGTCAAGTCTTTCTTATTTCTGATTTCAATTCCCAAGGGTGTGTGTGTGTGTGTGTGCGTGTGTGTGTGCGTGTGCGTGTGAAATCCTTTTAGTAGAGTTTTTTTCTTATTCTTCTCGATTGTACATGTATCTGTGTTTCCTATTTTATTGTAAAACATCATTGAGCATCGCGTCGAGATGAAAATTGGCAATATAATTGCATTTTATGATTACTAATAAGAAAAATCTCACTCAGAGCTTACTCACTAAAGTATCCTGCAAATCTGTCTTAGTATTAATGATATCTTTGCCCTTCAATCACAGGTTGGTTCATAAACCTTCTGTTCTTTCCATCATTATTCCAAGGTTCAGTAAAAACATAAGTGGTCATAGCCATTTTAGTAATCAGTAATGCGACTCAACAGACAACGAAGCGAGACTTACAAAAGTACAATGTCCTCAAATGTGATGTCTGTCATGCTTCTGTCAACATTGCTAATCATTGAGGTGTCAAAAATCTCTGTTCCCACTTTCAGGAGGCAGAAGACGGCGTAGCGTCGATAATCTGGGAAGGAGAGATCACATAATTTGTCAAGTCAGAGATGTGCTGTCTTTTCATCTCAAGTATGAATCAATTGACAAAGGCAATAACAAAAATCCAGGCCAAATCGATGGCTGGCTGCTAGACTCTGCCAAATTTCAAATTGCATAACGGCTTTTGTTGGAGTCTTACATCCAGGCATTGGCACTGTTTTAGGTCTTAGCTTTAGTTAGTGTTTTACAGCACTTGCAACACAATAAGGTCATATAAGCGCTGAAGATTAGAGGTGTTACATGAGAGTAACAAACACAAAAAAGGAGGGGAGACAAAGACGATAGATGTTTGATAGGAAAGAAGGAGCAAACCACACCAGAGCACCCGCCAACCACCCGCTGTGTTAGGTCTAATAATACAGAAAGCAATACACAAGTACCTACAGTTGAAATTGTGTAAGACTGTCACCCACTGTCGGGGAGAAAAGTGGCCATCTTGCACAGAGTCATTATAATGTAAAAAAACTAAAGGGAGAATGGAAATGGGAAGTGGCCGTTTGTACAGGTGATTTGTCTTAAACAGGTGGCCGTTTGAGCTGGTTTGATTGTACGTACATTAAATACTGACACTATCGCTTCAAAGTAAACTACACAAAAGATGAACATGTTTGATGGACCAAGGAGGAACAAACGATTCGACCGAGGTTACTCTTAAGCTCAATACCGATGTACATTAGTATTCAATTTTGCCTAAAAATTGAATGTCCTTACTTGCCAAAGAATGCTCTTCCCACATCACAACCATACTGCAGCAGGTGTTCAAATGAAAAGATTTTTAAGTACGCTAAAATTATTCCAAAATGCTGAACTTGTTGAGAAAGTTAATCTCCGTCATTTTCACAGTACTCCCTCAGTTCCTTGTTTTTCAGATTACTTCAACTTGCTCTCAATATGCTTTTTTTTCTTCTTCAGAAAGTCTCCTCTTTTCTTTCTCTCAGCTCCATCATTTCCCCCTCTACGCCAATAGTGAGCTGAACAAATAACTTCTGTGTCACGAGATTCAAATCCAAGTACGGACTGAGCAATCCTCATCCCCCCTGGACATAATCATCTAATAACTCTAATGACCTGCTGAACTTCAGCAAAGATGAACAGAACCAGAAAACAATTCTTATTTTCTCAGGATTAAAATGTCATTACCTCCTTTGTTCTTGAAATGATCTGCGTCCTTCCACATCAATGGAATGCGAATATCTGAAAGAAAACAAGAAGTCTTATTATAACTAAAGACGAGAGTCCTTCACATTTACACCTACTTTCTCCTATTTATCACAAAAAGTTTATCAATAGATACCCATGTATTCATAGAGAGAAGGCGAGGTGAAAGATGGGATAGCATAATGTCATAGGGCGGCAAATTGAGAAATAAATACATGGCAGACACATTTGTACTGACAGACGTACCCTCACCCCTCTTCATAAATAAAAAACAACAACAAAAGAAAACAAAACTTTTCTTTAGTTTTATGGCACTTGCGAAAAATATGGGTCATGTAAGGGCTAAAGATTAGAGGCGTTACAAAAAAGTAACAAACAGACACACACACACACACACACACACACACACACACACACAAAGGAAGGAGGAGAGCTATAAGGACGACAGCTGTTTGATGGGAAAGAAAGACCAGACCACACCAGAGCACCCACCAACCACCCACTACTTTTCTTCTTCCACTGGTGTTCGCCCGATAGTGATTAATAATTACTATGTCCGCACCCCCAAAGCTTTGGATTCAGACATGCGTTTGCCCTACGCCTGACCTCTGCGCGTTTCTGTTATCCTGTGCGAGAAGTACACACTCTATATGAACTGGG